CCCCTGCCCCTGCCGCTGCGGCGCCTCCCACTAGGAGCAGACGTTGCTCCTACCTCCTCAGCACGAAGGTAGTCAACAGCTGCAGCAGAGGCGACTGAGGGGACAAGGGGGGAGGGCGAACACCCCTCAAAGAAGGGAGTGCGAGGAGTGCCACGAGAAGCGCCTACAGCGACGATGCTAGTCTCAGCTGCTAGGAGGTGCTTCTCGAGCAGGTGGACAGTGAGGTCGGTGGGGTCAAGGGCAAGAAGGAGGTCCCTGAAAGCGCTAAGAGAGTCAGGGAGGCGGGTGACTATGAAGTAGAGAGTGATGTACATGGGAGGAGGGTTCTTGGTGAGAAACTCGGCGGGAAGCGCAGCGCGGTAGCGAGTGTCACTAGCACGAAGGTGAGTGACGAGGTCGACTACTGTGGCAAAGGCGGACAGCTCTGGGAACAGGTAGGGCAGGAGAAGGGGGCCTAGAGCAGCAGTGGCCGGGGAGGAGTAACGAGCGACTACAGCGTCGAACAGGGCTTTCGCAGTCTTGTGCTGTCCGAAGTGAGCGCGTTCGGCTAACGGTAGGTGGTTGCGAACGGCTAGGCGAGCAGCAGCGTCACGGGTAAGCCACTGTGAGCGAGCTACACTGTCAGCTGTGGCGGTAGGGGCGAGAGAGGCGCCAGACATGAGGTCAAACAGTGAAACACCGTCCTTAGAGTCGCTCAGTAAGTACAGCTGTAAGTCGTCGAGCCACGCATCAAACTCTATCGGGCGGCCCTCCGGATCGAAGGTGAGAACACTGAGAGTGGCCATAGCGGGCAGAACAGGCGAACACGCTTGCAGGAGGGCAGCACTCAGGCAGGGCAATGCAGGGCGGCAGCCAGCAGGGCAGGGCGACGCGGCGGCGAGCGGCTCTCAGGCAAGGCGGCGCGGCGGCGCGCGGGCAGGGCAGGGCGCGCGGCGGCGGGCGGCGCGCGGGCAAGGCGGCACGGCGCGGCGGCGTACGGCGCGTGGGCAGGGCAGGGCAGGGCGTGCGCAGGCAGCGCGACGCAGGGCAGGGCAGGGCAGCGCGGTGCTAACACGGCGGCGAGACGGGTGGGGTAGCGCGACTCGGTGGGCCCTAAAAAGACTGTCCTAGGCTAGGACCTACTCTGAAACCATGTCAGAAGTACGAACGAGAATGAATGAACTAGAAAGCAGATGAGTACAAGTACTAACCCTAATTGGGTTGTACCCCATATGGCCTACCCCACTATAGCCTACACAATATGCAGCATATAAGTTTGACACAACGAAGACTTTTTAATGATTTTTGATAAAATTGGGGGGAATGGATGCGTTGAAATCAAGGTTGAAATGACCAATTTGGGGGGAATGGATGGGTTGAAATCAAGGTTGAAATCACCGATAATGATAATATGTCCAAATGGAATTGTGTCAATTGCAAATATGTGTAGAACGAAGATTGAGATGAACAGGGATTGCGATAAACACAAATGACGAATGTTCTTGGCAGTGCCTTGTACTCTAAAACAACGAATTGCATTTATCATATATTTTTTAGAATTAATTCAACACCACCATGCGCTCGTTCTGGTAGGCGATTAGAATTCATCCAAAATCACAATATTGCCAGAAGATGATTAGATTTTTGAAAGCGTCGCCGTGAGTTTGGCTCGATAAAAGATGCGTCTCAAGTAACACGATGAAATCAAATGATAAAAGCATAGCCTAGAAGCCATGCATTCGACTCTGAACTGTCGTACATTATGATAAACATATTTAGTCCGTGAAGGAATCGACATAATCACGTCTGCTGGGACCGGAACAACAGGTACTTGAAACATGCGTAAACGTTTCATCGCATCTCTTTAGTCACTTCTTTGTGCACGATAATTGAATCACTATATTTTTTTTCCAGAAATAGAGATTGTGCGGACCGAAACCTACTTAAGGCAACATATGTGTCAAACTTATATGTTGTGTAGGCTGTAGTGGGGTAGCCCACATGGGGTACAACCCAATTAGGGTTAGTACTTGTACCAATCTTGCTGCTAGTTCATTCATTCTTGTTCGTTAGTTCCTGACATGGTTTCAGAGCAGGTCCGCTCCTAGGACCAGTTCTTTTTTTTTTAGGGCCCACCGAATTGCGCTACCCCACACGTCGCGCCGCCCTGTTAGCGCCGCGCTGCCCTGCCCTGCGTTGCGCCGCCCGCGCACGCCCTGCCCTGCCCTGCCCGCGCGCCGCTCGCCGCCGCACCGCGCCGCCCTGCCCGCGCGCTGCTCGCCGCCGCGCGCCCTGCCCTGCCCGCGCAACGCTCGCCGCCGCGCCGCCCTGCCCGCGCGCCGCTCGATGCAACGCGCCCTGCCCTGCCCGCGCGCCGCTCGCCGCCGCGCCGCCCTGCCCGTGCGCTGCTCGCCGCCGCGCGCCCTGCCCTGCCCGCGCGCCGCCCGCCGCCGCGCCGCCCTGCCCGCGCACTACTCGCTACCGCGCCGCCGCCCTGCCCGCGCGCCGCTCGCCGCAGCGCCGCCGCCCTGCCCGCATGCTGCTCACCACTGCGTGCCCTGCCCTACCCGCGCGCCGCTAGCCGCCGCGCCGCCCTGCCTGAGCGCCGCTCGCCACCGCGCCGCCCGGCCCTGCCCGCGTGCCGCCCTGCTGGCTGCCGCCCTGCCCTGATCTTCCTGTGCGCCGCCCTGCTGGCCGCCGCCCTGCCTTGCCCTACCTGCGTGCTGCCCTACTGCTAGCGCGCCCGACTGCTCTGCCCGCTATGCCAACTCTCAGCGTCCTCACCTTCGATCCGGAGGGCCGCCCGATAGAGCTCGATGCGTGGTTCGATGACTTACAGCTGTACTTTCTGAGCGATTCTAGGGACGGTGTTTTGCTGTTTGACCTCACGTCTGGAGCCTCTCTCGCCCCTGCTGCCACAGCTGACAGTGCGACTCGCTCACAGTGGCTTACCCGTGACGCTGCTGCTCGCCTAGCCGTTCGCAACCACCTGCCGTTAGCCAAACGCGCTCACGTCTGCCCTGCTGCTAGAGCCCTGTACGACGCTGTAGTCGCTCGTTATTCCTCCCCGGCCACTGCTGCTCTAGGCCGTCTTATACTGCCCTACCTGTTCCCCGAGCTGTCTGCCTTGGACACTCGCTACCGCGCAGCGCTTCCCGCCAAGTTTCTAGCCAAGAACCCCCCTCCCATGTACATCACTCTCTACTTCATCGTCACCCACCTCCCTGACTCTCTTAGCGCAGTCACGGACCTCCTTCTTGCCCTTGACCCCACAAACCTCACTGTCGACCTGCTCGAGAAGCACCTCCTTGCAGCTGAGACTAGCATAGTCGCTGTAGGTGCTTCTCGTGGCACTCCTCGCACTCCCTTCTTTGAGGGGTGTTCCCCCTCCCCCCTTGTCCCCTCAGTCGCTTCTGCTACTGCTGTTGACTACCTTCGTGCTGAGGAGGTAGGAGCAGCGTCTGCTCCTAGTGGGAGGCGCCGCAGCGGCAAGGGCAAGGGAGGCAGGGGTGGTGGGGGTGGCAACGATGGAGGCGGTGGTGGGGGCGGTGGTGGCGGAAGAGGTGGCGGTGGTGGCGGAGGGAGTGGTGGTGGGGGTGGAGGCTATGGTGGCGGCGGTGGCGGCGGCAGTGGAAGTGGTGGCGGCGGCAGTGGTGGCGGCAGTGGGAGTGGTGGCGGCGGCAGTGGTGGCGGTCGGGGTGGAGCCGGTCAGAGGAGCGGTTCTGGCGGTGGTCAGAGGCAGCAGCAGCAGCAGCGTCAGCGCGAGACCCCTTCGCCCCAGGAGCTTCGTGAGTAGTTTGCTCAGCGTGGGGCGTCTGGGGGTAGTGTTCGCTGCCAGTACGTCATTCGCACAGGTGACCGCTCTCGTCAGACATGCGGGAAAGTTGGTCACACCCAGTCCCGCTGCTTCTCCCGTCTTGACGACGCCTGGTGCACAGAGTTTCCCGACGCGACTGAGCTTCCCCGCTGGCATGGCCTGCTTAGGCAGAATGTTGATATCTTTGCTCTTGACTTTGATGCTATCCTTGCTGCCATGTATGCATTGACTGTTAGTGCTGAGGGTGACTGTTACCTGTGTGTGCCGCCCGACCAAGGTATAGAGGCTGCTGCTCTAGGCGCTAGTGAGTCTGCTCTCCCTGGTACTGCGCTTGCTGAGGCCTTGCACACCTTCACGCTTGACTCAGGTGCTTCCCGCTGTTTCTTTCGCGACAGCACCACAGTCACACAACTCCTTGCACGTGTTGCTGTCAAACCGGCTGACCCCTCAGGGGGCCCAGTTCTTGCTCGTTCCTCCACTGTTCACCCGTGTCCGGCGGTCCCGTCCGGCTCACTCTCAGGTCTTCACCTCCCCTCGTTCTCTACGAAGCTGGTGAGTACCGCTGCCCTCCAGGATGCGATGGTCACTACCACCATTCCTGGGGGTCAGCGTGTGTCGATCTGCACGTGCACACGGACGGGCCGTCACCTGGCCACGTTCACCCGTCGGCCTGGGTCGAGTCTGTACACACTGACTACTGAGCCTCCTCAGGTAGCTGCGTCTGCGTCCGCTTCAGGTCAGCTAGCAGCCCCCTACTCGTGTCGCGCCCTGTCGCACCAGAATCTCCTTTGGCACCACCGCCTTGGTCACCCCTCCGTGCCACGCCTCCGTGGCATGCACTCCCTGTTATAGTCTAGAGTCCACTTAGGGGTCGCGGATGCCCATGAGACCGCCTAAGCAGAATCTGATGACTTCGAACCGCCTCTGTTCAAAACGCCGTCACGATCAGCTCCGATAACATACGGGGCTGAAACTTGAACAGACGTTAGCTTCAGGTGTCTGCTTTTCAACTGTATATTGCTTGCGTTCATCAGAGGTGTATGCGTTACGCAGTGAACGAGAACGTAAGCTCGGCTGAAAACGTGTAGTTTCTTTGATGCAAGGAAGAGGTGTGTACAACATTGCCTGGGGGACTCTTAAGGGGTTGGGACCATCCTGGGAACTCAGAGAAGGTTGATTCCTAGGGGAGAAAGGCTAGAGAAGGATGGGAAACGTCCTAGCTAGGTCAGCAAAGCCAACCACACTTGGATGTTCAGAGCTGTACTCAAGGCTACCAATAGTGAGTCAAGCCAACCATGAGTCAGCTTGTCTTCCCACTTGCACCCTCTTGCAAGCTGCTTCCAGGAAGACCACACTTCTCAAAAGGAGGGTGGTAGAGTCCCACTTGACAACCTGTAATTCTTGTCTCATTCTCTGTCCCTGCACCATTGGCATGACAACAATGAAAGGGTGGCAAGGGAAATGCTGCCAACAGTGCACCATGACTACGGAACAGTAACTTTCGACAGCTGTCACGTGCGGCTCCGATTCTGGGTTGTCCTGAAACTCGATGACCATCTGAACAACACGGCAAAGGACTGCCACAACGATTTTCCGACCAGTCAGAGCTTGGTAGATGAGTCAGCAGCCGAAATGGTGAACTCGGGTCTTACCAAAAAAGAGTAACACACACTTCCGGGATGCCATAAGTCTTGAAACAAAAAATGTTTCCATGCCTTCTAAACTACTTCAAAAATTCTGAAACTTTGAGGGTGTGAAGAACACATGTTGACGCACCTCCCCACAAAATTCCAGAAGCTGAACAGGCTTGTAGACTGAATGGGAGTGCGGTGACCGTGCCACTATAGTGGTTTGGCACAACACTCCCGTCTCCTTGTCTCTGGGCTTCCCAGGTCTCTGCCTCCCCTCCCACCCTCACCTGCCCCTCCCTGCCTTCCCTGTGTCGAGGGGCAGCAGCGCGCCGCTCCTCACTCCTCCTCGTTTCCCCCGACGACTGCTCCCCTGCAGACTCTCCACATGGACGTGTGGGGCTCAGCCCGCGTCCGTGGACAGGGCCGCGAGCGCTACTTTCTGCTGGTTGTTGACGACTACTCGTGTTACACCACGGTCTTCCCCTTGCGCAGCAAAGGGGAGGTCCCTGATGTTTTGATCCCTTGGATCCGCGCTGTCCGTCTCCAGCTCCGCGAGCGGTTCGACACGGACCTTCCGGTCCTGCGTCTGCACTCTGACAGAGGTGGTGAGTTTGCCTCCGACCTCTTGCGGGACTTTTGTCTTGGGGAGGGCATCACCCAGTCGTTCACGCTTCCGGCCTCTCCACAGCAGAATGGGGTTGCTGAGTGCCGCATTGGCTTAGTCATGGAGGTCGCTCGTACCTCCATGATCCATGCGGCTGCCCCCCATTTCCTGTGGCCGTTTGCGGTCCGGTACGCTGCGCATCAGCTCAACCTCTGGCCCCGTGTCTCCTTGCCGGAGACCTCGCCTACACTGCGTTGGACGGGGAAGGTTGGCGATGCGTCGATGTTCCGGGTCTGGGGCTCTCGTGCCTTTGTCCGCGATACGTCCGCGGACAAGCTCTCCTCCCTCGCCATTCCCTGCGTCTTCCTTGGCTTTCCCCCTGACGCGCCTGGCTGGCAGTTTTACCACCCCACCGCGCCGTGTCCTGCCCTCTCATGACGTCACGCTTGAGGACTCGGTTCCCTTTTACCGCCTCTTCCCCTACCGCACTGCCCCTCTCCCCCCCCCCGCCGCTCTTCCTCGCACCAGGTCCTCCTCCGGTAGACCCCCTCCCCCCTCAAGGTCCTGCTCCCTCAGGTGTGTCTCAGGTAGACCATGTCGAGCCTGTCGAGGTCGCTGTCGAATCTGGTGCTGCTGGGGGTGGTGCTGCTAGGGGTGCTGCATCTGGGGGTGCTGAGCATGAGGGTGCTGAGCCTGGGGTTGCTGAGTCTGAGGGTGCGGAGCCTAGGGGTGCTAAGCCTGAGCGTGCGGAGCCTGGGGATGCTGAGCCTAGAGGTACTTTGTCTGCTGGAGGTCCTACGGGTGTCTCGTCACGGCGGGAGCCTCTCTCTCCACCGTAGCTGCGCGAGTGGTTTGCTCGGCGCTGGAGCCTTCGGAGTGGCGCTGCTGGAGCGGGGGGGGCTGCCGCTGGAGGCCCTGGAGCTGGAGACACTGGAGCTGCATGTCTTGGAGGAGCTGGAGATGCTGGTCCCGGAGGTGCTCGTACTGGAGCTACTGGAGCTGCTGGAGCCGTTGGTACTGCAGGCGCTGGAGCTGGAGACCCTGGTGCTGGAGGCGCTGGAGCTGGAGGTCCCGGAGGTGCTGGAGCTGCTGGTCCTGGAGGTGCTGGAGGTACTGGAGCTGCTGGAGCTGGAGCTGCTGCAGGTGTTGGAGCTGGAGGTGCTAGAGGGACCGGAGCTGTTGGAGCTGGTGGAGCTGCAGGCGTTGGAGCAGGAGACCCTGGAGCTAGAGGTGCTGACCCTGGGGGTGCTGGTGTTGTCGATGCTGGTTCTGTGCGGCCGCGACCGTACTTCGTTCCACTGCTTCAGCATGTTCTTGGTCTCCCATCTTCTACTGGCCTTACTCCTCCTCTACTGTGTCCACCGCCTGACCAGTCGCAGCCGCAGTTACAGCCAGCATCCCCATTGCCTGCTCCTTCTCCTTACACTGAACAGACAGGAGGTCTTACAGAGCGTCGTGAGCCTGCGTCTCGTCCTGCCTCGCCTGTTCGCGCTGTTCGCACTGGTCGTCGTGTTCCGCGTCAGCGTCCTCCTCTTGTCCATGGCACGCACCATATGGCACTTCGTCCTTCCTCTGTTCCACAGCGTGTCCCCCTGCCGTCTCCTCCTGCGTCCTCTCTTGCTGACGGTCCGGACCCTGAGTCTGACTTACTTCGTGCTGCCAGTCCTACTATCACACGTCTTCTGGCCACTGTTGTCACTGACCCTTCGTTTGAGTCCACTGCTGCGTCTGCCCTAGTTGCTGAGCTTGTTGACATTGTTGCCGCCTGTCGTCTCGACTACGCCGCTAGTCTTGTTGCTGAGTCTGAGTCTGTCTGTCCTCCGTCCGTCGGGGGTGAGTGTGCTCTTGACACGGACGTCCTTGAGGACAGGCAGGAGGACTTTGAGTGATTTGCAGCTGCTGTACCTAATCTCGTGTCCATGCTGATTGCACCTGAGGGAGACCCGGATGCACAAGACATCCCAAACACCGCGCTCTTACGCAGAGGCGATTACGGGTCCCTACTCCTCTCAGTGGTAGACAGCCATGGACGCAGAGATGGCATCCTGGAAGTCAACAGGCACTTACGTCGACGCAGTTCCCCCTCCTGGGGCGAACATAGTCGATGGCATGTGGAGTTTCAGGGTGAAGCGGCCGCCAGGTTCTCCACCTGCCTTCAAGGCTCGTTACGTTGCGCGAGGCTTCAGTAAGCGACAGGGAGTTGACTTCTTCCAGACCTTCTCCCCTACCCCGAAGATGACCACTCTTCGGGTACTCTTCATTGCCGTTTAGCGTGACTACGAGCTTCACTCTCTTGACTTCAGCACAGCTTTCCTGCACGAGGAGATCTGGCTGCGCCGCCCACCTGGCTTCACTGGGTCGTTTCCTGCAGGTACCCAGTAAAGCCTCCGGCGGCCAGTCTACGGTCTCCACCAGGCGCCTCGCGAGTGGCACGATACACTGAGGACGACTCTTGCGGCTCTTGGGTTTGCTCCTTCGACTGCTGACGCGTCGCTGTTTCTACGCACCGGCACTTCAGCTTTGTGATCATCAGCGTTTCTGTACTGTTCTAAGCCTTGTGCCCACTTGGCCTCACTTGCTTATTTCTTGACTTTGCTTGTACTGTGATCTCTATACATATACCTGCATGCTTAGACTTGCTAGGTTTTGATCACTGTACTGCTTGTTCTCCATTGTATAACTCTGCATATGAACTGGCCTTGTGGCCATTTGCTTGTGCTCAGAGTGTGTGGTGACTTCGTGATCCACCCTGAGCTTGCTTTGCTTTTCTTGACTGGTCTTGTGACCTCTTGTTCTACCCCACTTTGCCTATGGGGGTGTGTCAAACTTATATGTTCTGTAGGCTGTAGTGGGGTATCCCACATAGGGTACAACTTAATTAGGGTTAGTACTTATACCCATCTTGCTGCTAGTTCATTCATTCTTGCTTGATAGTTTCAGACAATATGCTATATGTACAAACAAACGTCGATGAAAATGGACAACACCTTAATTAATAGTAGAACTCTGAGTGAGATGAACACTTATGGCATCGCTTGGACGAAGAGGGAACTGCAATCTTGATATTGCGTCGTTCTTATTGCTGATTAATTATTTTGACGAATAATAGGAGTATATCTCGGATCAACAATGTTCCACATTAAGAACAGTTGATGACTTTCGTGGCTAATGTTTTTGCCTACACGAGCATCATCAAACAACACCAAAACAACAAAGATCTCACCTCTATTATCGATTGAAAAGGTTCCAACAGTTCCAGGTGTACCATTTGCGATACCATCAGCAGTATCCACATTCACAACGATATGGACTTTACATCTAATATAGAGGCCCAAGCATGCATGCAAACCAGCGAATTTTACATCCAATATAGAGGCACAAGGATGCGTACTTCGAAGGTTTGCTTTTCACGGGTCGTTGATTTTGCAAACAAATGTAAATTATGCGCAAGAATGTCATACTTTTCATTTGTTGAGGTTGCAAATACCTTATCGTTGTGTGCATCGATGCCAACATCTCTGCATAAAATATGTTGCAATAACAATAACCCATCACATGGTTTGTTCAAAGAGGTAAAAAATGTGATGTCATTACTTGTCTGATTACCTTCTCGCAAACGATTGAGACGCTCCGCAAATGCGCGCTCCTCCTTTTGTCTCATAATTATCGTAAGCTCAACCATTTGAAACGTTTTCCATACATTACATTCGATGGTTGTCTCCGCAAAACAATATTGGTCTGCAACACGAGGTAACTGAAACAAATCACCAACCAAAATCATAGGTAGTCCACCAAAACGTGCATGTTGTGCACCTCATATTTCTCTGAGTCGTCAATCTAGCCATTGAAACATTTGCTTACCAAGCATTTAGACTTCATCGACAACAACCACCTTTACATCACCAAAGCGAGAGCGCAAATTGTTCAATCGATCCGATGATAAGTTACATAGGTTTCTATCCTGGGTCACATGCACCATCTTGGCGTTATGAACAGTATATCCACTGATGTTTAATGCAGCAATACCAGATGGAGCCAATCTCAATACTTTGATTGAACGTGGCTTGGTATGTACTGATGCACTAAGCATTCGTGATATCCGCTCAGTAACAACATTGATTAATACTGATTTACCAACTCCTGCGCCGCCAGTTACAAATAGTCGTAACGGTTCCTCTGTAGATCGAATATGATGTACGATATGGTCGCAAACGGCACGTTGCTGGACGTTAAATGAACTCTCTAACCGCATGTATTCGGTATCGTCAATATTGACATGGACAAAAACATCCTCCGCTTTCTCTTGTCGTCTCTCCATGTTTAACTCAACCCCTATATCAATGTTAAAATCATCTTGATCTGATTCTATTGCGGTGGTTGAATTCTCTTGCATATCATTGAGCTCAGCTTCTTTGAAAGCTAGCGACCATAGATCTTTCCCTGTTATATACTCGGCTTCTTTAGCATCAATTACGTCTTTGTTCATTCTATACGTGTCCATGAAACACGTTTAATTAGTTGGTTCTTCTTTAAACGGAAAAAACAAAAAAATCGCGCCCGTATATAATTGCATAGATCTTGCTCTTTGTGATAACTAACGAGTCCGGACGCCAATCACTAAGAAACATGGACCACAAGGAGAACCACCAGACGAGATTGACATTCAATTGGTGTTGAAACAAGTGGGAACATTATTGTACATCTCAACAGCAGGGAGGCCGGACATAACATATGCAACGCATGTGCTGGCCAGACAAGCAAGCAAGCCAACAGCAGCAACAGTGCTTGGAATCCAAAGGGTGTTCAAGTACTTACAGAACACTGTGGACGTGGGGCGTCTATGGAGGAGGGGACTTGGTGCTCCGGTGATACACGGACTCGGACTATGCGAACGAAGTGGGGTATCACTCAGTTGGAGGCTACGTGTTTATCTTGGGAGGAGCTGCTGTCAGTTGGAGGACTAAGCGACAAACAGTCATTGCATCGTCAATGTTCGAAGGGGCAAGGGAAGCTAAATACCTCCGGCGCTTGTGTGAAGACGTCGGTTTCCTACAGCAAGAACCCATTGTCATCTTTATGGACAACCAAAGCGCAATTGCGCTTGCAACAGGGGAGCAGATGAGTCAACGCATAAAACACATGGAAGTACGTTACCATTGGACGCGGAAGGCAGTTCGTGATGGTGTTGTGTGGCCGGAGTACTGCCCGACAGCTCAGTTAGCAGCCGATTACCTCACCAAGCCTATCACAGCAAAGCAACATCTCACCTGCAGCCTATTGTGCAGTCTCCAACCAATTCCACCCGGAGCACCGTCTGCAACCAGTCAGCAGATTGAAGGCGTAGGAGCTGCACTCACATGTACAGGCTTCTCAAGGGGTGCTGGACAACAGGGCGTCACGCAACTCCACATGTCTCACTCGTGTGTTTGTTGCTGTGTGCATGCTCATACGCATACATGATGACAAACTCACGAGTGAGAGGGGGGAGTGGGGTGTGGAGTACCTTGCAATGAATACACAAGGCATGGGAAGCAGACGCAACCGAGAGCTTTTCTGCTAGATGGTCGCAGCTGCTGACTTCAGTCGTCAAGGTCACTGGTTGATGCAAGGTATCTGCTGGTTTCAGGGGGGGTCAATCACGACAGCGATAGTAGTCGTCAGAAACATCATACAAGACATGAGAGTGGTGGATTACAATAACAAGCAGCACAAGAGAAGGCATGCTGCTGCTGAAGAATTACTCACTTGGCTACAAGCAGAAGGCAAGCCGCTGTCCGCCGGTGCTGCTGGTGCACAAGGTGGAGCTGCTGCAAGCCGCCAGGTGCAGCTACGAGCAGTTAGGTGATGCCACAGCCGAGCGCCGTCAACAGCTACCGTGCGACATATGTAGTGTGCAACAAGGAAGTGAGCATTAGACAGATGAAGCGAGGGTATCAAACAGGAAGGAGTGGAAGGGTATGAAGCAAGCCCGTGCAACAGTCTGCCAAGAGCTACTGCCACCAGTCGCCTTACCCGCTAGTGCAGATGGGGACAAGTGCTGCTGCCGCTGCTGCCATGCTGACGCAGCCGCACGCTAGTCCGAGGCAGTCGCTCAATCGATGAAGCAGCAGCGCGCCGCCAGGGGCAGCCGCAGCGCGCCGCCGGCCTTGTAGAATTCCTTTGGCTGATGGACTGCCACTATGTTGGCGGTTGCAAATGGAAGTTGGTGCGACTCGGCCGCCAAATCAAGAGTGAAACCCTTTCGCTCTGGCAGTTGCAGTTGCAGATGGAGGTTGGTGCGATTCGGCTGCCAGATCAGGAGTGAAACCGGAGGCTGTGGCAGTTGCAGTTGCAATTGAAAATTAGCATACCTCGGGAAGTTGCGGCTCGATCAGTTAGTCTCGGCTCGGGCTGGAATTGGCAGTTGACCGCTTCCGTTCACTCATGACTCATTGTTGCTGTTGCTTCTCCTGCGGTTGGTCGCGTCGAGGTCGTATGGCATATGTGGGCGTTGACTCGCTCTCTTCCTCCGACCAAATGAGATAAATGTTGCATTGAGAAAGCTTGCTTTCTTATTCTTATCAACCGGCATCGTTCTCATTACAAATAGCTTATTACAACATTTGCATCAACATTGAACACAAGCTAGTGCATACTAATAACACTAGCTAAGATGTACTCTATCCAAGTGGCATTAGCAAGGCGGTTTACTCTGGGGTGGGTGGTTGGAATGTTGAGTGAGCCGTTTGAAAATCGAGAAACGTGGGTGGAGGGAAATGAACTCCAACCCCCGGTTTTGTAGTTGGAGAAGGGTGTTTAGCGCGCTTCGACGATGACAATTGTGCAGTACAAACAGCTTCGCTTTCACAATACACAATGTGTGTTAAAAATTTTTAATATCTTGTCCCATTCAGCCAAATGTCACGTATGCTGGCGGCTTCGGACTTGATCACCCGAATTTGTCAGCATCCGGCCGGTCGCGTCTCCAAGTTACAGCTAGATTTGGAGAAGCGGTTGGTTGACTTTGAACCCTTCCCGAGTTCCGGATTGGGAATTTTCTCATTTTTTGGTTGAGAAGCGGGTTTCATAGCCCGTCATGTGCTGATTTTCTTTCTAGGGTTGCTCGGTTGGCAATTGTTGCTCATCATTTGTCCCCTCAAATAGATTCGACTGCCTCCTAGCAGCGGTGATGCAGGGTCGAGCAAGGGGACGATGAAGCGACGCTCGACCCGGTGAGGCCCTTACTGTGGAGACCCTCCCGACTCCTCTCCTGCTTTAGGGGAAGAGTCGACCGTCATGAAGGATGGAAAGATGGTTCGGCTGAGAGCGTCGACGTTTCGGTGAGAAGCGCCGGCCTTGTACTGGATCTCGAAGTCGAATTCTTTCAGCCTTACTTTTTCTACAACCTAGCTTCCGCAACACCGGCATCATGCCTTTCTAGCAATATCGACGGCAAAAAGAGGGCAAAAGAAGAAGATGAAATATCGAATCGAAACGCTAAGAAGAAGATGAAATATCAAATCCAAACGCTATTCAATGGCTCCGCTGCGTGGAGATGGAAGCCGAAGGTGCGTGCTAGAGCGGCCCGCGCCCCCGCCCCGGCGGCCCGCCGGCCCGCGCCCCCGCCCCGATGGCCGCCGGCGGCCCGCGCCCCCGCCTCGGCGGCCCGCGCCCTCCACGGCGATCCGTATCCGTGTCCCCTCCTCTCCACGGAGGCCCGCGCCCCCGCCAGCCCAGGCGGCAAACGACAGCGCTCGCGTCCCCGCTCGCCCCGGCGGACCTCGCCCGTGCCCGCGCCCGCGCCCCCACCCGCCCCGGCGAATCGCGTCCCCGCCCCCGCTCGCCCCGGTGGCCCGCGCCCTCGCCACTACTCAAGCTACTAGGGTACGTTTTGACATCTTTACCTCACATCCAGCTTGATATAGTCGTTGGTAGTTGATTGGTCACATTTGCATTTTTGTTGAAGTGGGGCACAAATTACAATCCAATACCCGAATTACAGGTCCGAGTCAACGCTAGGTATTTTAGGGTTTTGAAACTGGCAAACGGAGGTTCGGAAGAATGCGAGGTAACGAAAGAAAAGAGAGACAAACTAGTGTCGCTCACACACAAAATTTGCGTCTGGAATACACAAACCAACTGCATGAACAAAACTAACCCCACATTCGGGCCGTATACCACATATTGAAAAGCTAATAGTTAGATGTCATTGTCGCATTGACAGCACCCAGACAATATTAGGTTGGTGTCCCGTCGCCAGTATTTCCTCGTCCCACTACCACTTGGTCTCATCTTACCTCTTCTCCCCTTACCACGTAGTCTCATCTTATCTACCCACTTCCCACCAGTTACTCTCATATCACCTCCTTTACCCCTACCATTTACTCCGAACTCACATCCTCACCCCCTAACCACTTACACCCATCTCACCTCCCCTCCCTCATACCACTTATAATTCTCAGTTCACCTCCCCCCCCCCCTAACAACTAAATCCCAACTCACCTCCTCTCCCTATACCACTAATTTCCAGCTCACAACCTCTCCCCCTATCCCTTACTCCCTTGTCACATCCTCTCCCCCTTACCACTTACTCCCATCTCACCTCCCTTGCCCCTTACCACTTATTCCCAGTTCACCTCCCCTCCCCATGCCCATTACTCCCATCTAACCTACCCTCCCCCTCAGACTTACTCCCAGCTCAACCCCTCTCCCTCTACCACTTTGTCCCAACTCACCTCCCCTCACCCTACCACTTGGTCCCATCTCACCACCCCTCCCCATATCCATTACTCCCATCTGTCCTAAGCCTAGGTTCACCTACTACTTTAACATGGTTTCAGAGCACTTAAGCTCCTAAGACCTAATGAGCCCACCGTTAGCTTCCGCCAATGCGTCACTTTTCTGCCCGTCGCGCGCCCCGGGCGTGCGTCGGTCTCTGCTCGTCATGCGCCCCGGGCGCGCGGCAGGGTTTGCCCGTCGTGCGCCCCGGGCGCGCGGCGGGGTTTGCCCGTCGTGCGCTCCGGGCGCGCGGCGGGTTCTGCTCGCCGTGCGCCCCGGGCGAGCGGCGGTTTTTGCCAGCGCGACCTGCTGCCCCGTGCCCCAGCGCGACCTGCTGCCCCGTGCCCCAGCGCGACCTGCTGCCCCGTGCCCCAGCGCGACCTGCTGCCCCGTGCCCCAGCGCGACCTGCTGCCCCGTGCCCCAGCGCGACCTGCTGCCCCGTGCCCCAGCGCGACCTGCTGCCCCGTGCCCCAGCGCGACCTGCTGCCCCGTGCCCCAGCGCGACCTGCTGCCCCGTGCCCCAGCGCGACCTGCTGCCCCGTGCCCCCGCGCGACCTGCTGCCCCGTGCCCCAGCGCGACCTGCTGCCCCGTGCCCCAGCGCGACCTGCTGCCTGCGGCCCAGCGCGACCTGCTGTCGCAGCGTCCTACAACAGTGGGGGGGGGGGGGTGGTGGGGGGGGGGGTTGGGTTTGGGGTGGCGGGTGTGAGCACCCAGCTGCCGCCCCTCCTCTCTCTCTCACTGCCGCACGTGCCGCTGTGGGGGGGAGGGTGAGGGGGTGGTGGGCTTCTGGACGCCGTGTGAAGGCTTGAGCAGGGACCACCGTGGGTGGGGAAGGCGTTGGAGGAAGGGTGGGGGGGGAGGTGTGAGGTTCCAGGGGGGGGTTGACAAGGGGGGTGAGGTTGAGGGGGGTGGCTGAAAGGGAGCGTGGAATTAGGGGGTTAGTAAGAGGGGCTCGCCGCACTAGGCTCCCCCCTACCTCCTCTCCTCCCTCTCTCACCCTCCCCCCTTTGTAAAACGGGGGTTAGTAAGAGGGGTTCGCCGCGTGGCTCCCCCCACCTCCTCTCCTCATCCCTCTCTCACCCCCCCCCCCCCCCCCCTCCCCTTTGTAAAATAGGGGTTCGTAAGAGGGGCTCGTCGCGTGGCTCCCCCCACCTCCTCTCCTCATTCCTCTCCTCTCCCCTCTCTCTCTCTCGTCTCCTCCTCCTCATTTACCTCATTGCCGTCTTCCACTGCGCGTGGTGTACCTCTTCAGGGGGCGTAACTACACTTCTTCCTACAAGCAATTATGGGGGCGTGTCGAAATATGTTTACATATTTTATAACTGCTTGTAGTTGTAGTGTAGGCATTATGATTTCCTGCTTGTGGTGCACCTCTCCTTGCATGTTTCTCATCTATTTGTACTTGCAATTCTATAGTGCAACCACTCTTTGTGCTACTCTCTCTCCTTCCTCTCGACATTCACCTTGGCTAGGGTTTCTCCTAAGCCTAGGTTCACCTACTACTTTAACACATCTCACCTCCCATCCCGCAACCCATCACCTCCACCTCCCCTCCGCTCCCCCTACCACTTACTGGCAAAACTTATATGTTATAAGCTATGTAGTATGTATTGGGGTTAGCCTTAGGGGGTACAAAAACATTCTCGGCGTTCTCCTTGTATCCCCCCCTTTAATCTAATCGACCATTTTTCCCTCTTAGATTCTAACATGGTATAGAGCAGGTAGGTCCGTTAGGACCGTTTTTGTTTTAAGAACCTGCCCCTTCCGCTGCCCGTAGCGCGCCCCTAATGCGTGCCCTTTAGCTGCCCGTCGCCCGCCCCTAGCACGCGTCGTTTTTTTTTCTGCCCAAAACGCACCCCTATCGAGCGAGTAGGTCCCCACTCCGCGCGCGCCTCGGTTAGTGCTCTGCGCGCGCCCCGTACGCCACCCCGCGCCCGCCCTGCTCGCTGCCTAGCGCGCCCCCCTTACGCTGCCCTGCTCGCGCCCTATCCGCTACCCCGCGCGCGCCCTATTTGCTGCCTAACGCGCGGCCCGTATACTGCCCTGCGCGCCCTATTCGCTGCCCGTCGCGCGCCACCGCTGCCCCACGCGTAGTGCGCGCCTCTGCCCCATGCGGTGCGGCTGCCTACGCTGCCTGCGCGCTGCTCTGCCGCCCTGCAGTGCCCTGCCCTGCGCGCTGCCCTGCTGCCCTGCCCGCGCTGCCTTGTGCTGCCGCCAACGCTGCAGCCTGGCCGCCCACCCTCCCGCCCGCGCTGCAGCCTGCCCTGCCCCGTAAGGCCCGCGTGCTGCCGCTGCCCTGCCCTGTAAGGCCCACAGCTACAGCCACAGCTAGAGCCGCAACTACAGCCACAGCTATAGCCACTGCGGCCGCCGCTACAGCAGCTGCGACTGTCAAGAACTAACTAGCGTGAAGAATTGACTTCATTATTTAAAAAAGGTAACAACGCTAATATGCGAGGAATAAGGAGATAAAACAAGATATAGCAAACCCTAACAAAGAGGAAATGTTACACCTAGACTAACATAAACTAAACATATGAATGATATGTTGACACACCCCCATAGTCTAGGTGACGGTAGTCCTGTGGAAATCAACACATATCTCAAGGTGGGTCTCAAAGACATACACAGTCTGAGAGCAAGCAAGGGTCACATGACCAGTCCACAAGAACAAGACAAATCTCAGGGTGGAGCTCGAAGTCACCACACACTCCGAGAACAAGCAAGGGGCCACAAGGCCAGTTCACATACAGGTATATAGCCAGGAGATGCAAGATTACAAGGCAAGCAGGACAAAGCTGCCAGAAAGAACGAAACAGGAATGATTGAACTAGCACAAAGTTGGGTACAAGTAGGAAACCCTAAGTTTGTGTACCCCCTAAGGCTAAACCCACTATAGCCTACACAATGTAAACATACAATGTTTGACACACCCCCATAGGCGAAGTGGGAGACAACCAGAGGGTCACAAGACCAGTCAAAGCAAAGCAAAGCAAAGCAAAGCTCAAGGTGGATCTCAAGGATACCACACAAATTCCGAGCACAAGCAAGTGGTCACAAGACCAGTTCAGATGCAGTTTGATAATAGAGCAAGAGGTACAGTGATCACAACCTAGCAAGTGAAAGCATGCAGGTATATATATAGAGATCACAGTACAAGCAGAGTCAAGAAGTGAGCAAGTGAGGGAGAGTAGGCACAAGGCCTAGAACAGTACAGAAACGCTGATGGTCACAAGACTGAAGTGCCTTGGTGAACACATCAGCAGTGTTGGCCCGAGTGGCCACGTAACGCAGACGAAGCTGACCACGCTGCTGCAGCTCTCGAGCAAGGAAGTAGCGCAGAGCGATGTGCTTCGTTCTGTGCTCCAGTCTGTGCTCCTCACACAAGGCAATGGCTGCCTTGTTGTCGACGTACAGCACTGGAGAAGAACGAGGCCGCTCTCCGAGGTCGGTCAGCAGGTAGGTGAGCCAGCGTAGCTCCTGGGCAGCCATGGCTGTGGCGTAGATCTCAGCCTCACAACTGGAGCTGAGAACAGAGGAAGAGCGTGTAGAACGCCAGGAAACAGAGCCAGAGCCAAGGCTGAAGGTGTAACCCTGAGACGACCGCTGCGTAGCCTGGTCGTCAGCCCAAGAAGCGTCTGAGTGTCCAGTGAGGACAACGTCGCGCCGTCCTCCAAGCACAAGCCCCATGCTCGACGTACTGCACAAGTAGCGCAACACCCTCTTAGCGGCATCCATGTGCTCCTTCCGGTGACGGCCAGGAGCGACATAGCGTGCTAGGATGCTAAGAGGGTAGGCTAGGTCAGGTCGAGTGCAGGTCATCAGGTACATGAGGCAGCCCACAAGCTCTGGATACGGGCCACTCGGCTCTACGGACTCATCCGAAGGCAGAGCTGAGAGCGAGTGACCGGTAGGCAGAGGAGTGGGCTGAGGCGAGGAGTACGTGAAGCGGAAGCGCTGAAGGACCTGCTGCACCATGTGTGACTGAGTCAAGGTGATGGTGCGCTGTGCTCTATCCCGGGTGATCCGCAAGCCAAGATAGCTTGTCAGCTCACCCAAGTCTGTGCACGTGTGTCTCTTCTGCAGCTCCGACTTCACGTGGGCAAGTGCCTCAGTGTCAGCAGTAGCAAAGACCAAGTCGTCTACGTACACGAGAACGTAGAACGGCGGCAGAGTGGTGTCGGTGCGTAGAAACAGCGACGGGTCAGCAGTAGAAGGAGCAAACCCAGGAGCAGCAAGAGTAGTCCTCAGTGTGTCGTGCCACTCACGGGGCGCCTGGCGGAGACCGTAGACCGGCCGCCGGAGGCTCCACTGGGTACCAGGAGGGAACGACCCAGTGAAGCCAGGTGGGCGGCGCAGCCAGATCTCCTCGTGCATGGTGCCCTGTAGGAACGCAGTGCTGAAGTCAAGGCAGTGGAGCTCGTAGTCACGCTGAGCGGCGACGTGCAGCAGAACCCGAAGAGTGGTCATCTTCGGGGTCGGGGAGAAGGTCTGGAAGAAGTCAACTCCCTCTCGCTGACTGAAGCCTCGTGCAACGTAACGCGCCTTGAAGGCAGGCGGAGAACCTGGCGGCCGCTTCACCCTGAAAATCCACATGCCACTGACGATGTTCGCCCCAGGTGGGGGAACCTCGTCGACGTAGGTGCCTGTGGACTTCCAGGAAGCCATCTCTGCGTCCATGGCTGTCTGCCACTGAGAGGAGTACTCACCCTCCATCGCCTCTGCGTAGGAGCGTGGGGTCGGGATGTCTGGTGCATCCGGGTCTCCCTCAGGGGCAATCAGCATGGACACGAGATGAGGTAAAGCAGCAGCAAAGCACTCAAACTCCTCCTGTCTGTCCTCAAGGACGTCCGTGCCAAGAGCACACTCACCCCCGACGGACGGAGGACAGACAGACACAGACTCAGACTCAGCAACAAGGTTAGCGGCGTGGTCTAGACGACAGGCTGCAGCAAAGTCAACAAGCTCAGCGACCAGAGCAGACGCAGCAGAGGACTCAAAGGTAGGGTCAGTGACAACAGTGGCAAGGAGACGCGCGACAGTAGGACTGGCAGCACGAGTAAGGTTTGACGGCGGGTCGGCAACGTCAGGAAGAGAGGACGCAGGAGGAGACGGCAGAGGGACGCGCTGTGGAGCAGTGGAAGGACGCAGGGTCATATAGTGAGTGCCAAGGACAGGAGGAGGACGCTGACGCGGAGCACGACGACCAGTGCGGGCAGTGCGGACAGGCGACTCTGGACGAGACTCAGAAGACGCAGGACTGGACTCAGGCGACGGAGGACGAGACTCAGGCTCACGACGCTCCGTAAAGCTACCTGTCGGCGCAGTGTAAGGAGAAGGACCAGGCAGTGGAGAGGCAGGCTGTAACTGTGACTGCGACGGGACAGGTGGTGGACTCAGTAGGGGAGGAGGAGTAGGACCAGGAGAGGGCGGGAGACCAAGAACCTGCTGAAGGAGCGGAACGTAGTACGGCCGCAGTCGCTCAGCACCTCCAGCGCCAACCCCCTCAGCAGCTCCAGTCCCAGCAGCTCCAGTACCTCCAGTATGAGCACCTCCAAGACCGGCGGCTCCAGCAGCTCCAGCACCAGCAGCACCACCAGCAGCACCAGCACCTCCAGCAGCTGCAGCAGCAGCAGCAGCACCTCCCGCAGCACCAGCACCAGCAACACCTCCAGCAGCTGCAGCAGTACCAGCAGCACCAGTACCAGCAGTACCTCCAGCAGCGCCAGCAGCACCGCCAGCAGCAGCAGCACCTCCTGCAGCTCCAGCAGCACCAGCACCAGCAACACCTCCAGCAGCTCCAGCAGCACCAGCAGCAGCAGCAGCACCTCCTGCAGCTCCAGCAGTACCAGCACCAGCAACACCTCCAGCAGCTCCAGCAGCACCAGCAGTACCTCCAGCAGCTCCAGCAGCACCAGCACCAGCAGCACCAGGACCAGCAGCACCCCCAGCAGCTCCAGCAGCAGCACCGGGGTCCGCGACGCGAGGAGCGCCACTCCGGAGACTGCAGTGCCGAGCGTACCACTCGCGGAGCTGCAGGGGAGAGGGCAGCGCCCGCCTAGGAGGGGAAGCACTAGCACCAGCTCCAGCAGCGCTCCGAGCGCCAGAAGCACCTCTCCTGAGGCTGCAGTACTGTAAGTACCACTCACGCAGCTGCTCGGAGGAGAGAGCTCCTCCAGGTGTAGCACTCCCAGGCTCAGCACCCCCAGACTCAGCACCTCCAGACTCAGCACCCCCAGTCTCAGCACCCCCAGACTCAGCACCCCCAGACTCAGCAACCCCAGGCTCCGCACCCCCAGGCTCCGCACCCCCAGGCTCCGCACGCTCAGGCTCAGCACCCCTAGCAGGACGAGAGTCGACAGCTACCTCGACAGGCTCAACCGGGTCTACCTGGGACACACCTGAGGGAGCGCCACCCTGAGGGGGGAGGGGGTCTACCACAGCAGCACCTGGCGCGAGCAAGAGAGGCGGGGGAGGGAGCGGGGCAGTGCGGTAGGGGAAGAGGCGGTAGTAGGGCACCGACTCGTCAAAATTGACGTCCTGAGAGGGCAGGACACGGCGCGAGGTGGCGTGGTAAAACTGCCAACCAGACGCGTCCGGGACAAAGCCAAGGAAGACACAAGGAACAGCGCGGGAGGAGAGCTTGTCCGCAGACGTATCGTGGACAAAAGCTCGAGATCCCCAGACCCGAAAACGCGACGCATCGCCAACCTCCCCCGTCCACAGCAGTGTGGGCGAGGTCTCCGGCAAGGAGACACGGGGCCAGAGGTTGAGCTGATGCGCAGCGTAGCGGACTGCAAACGGCCACAGAAAGTGGGGGGCAGCCGCATGGATCAAGGAGGTACGAGCGACCTCCATGACCAAGCCAATGCGGCGCTCAGCAACCCCATTCTGCTGTGGAGAGGCCGGAAGCGTGAACGACTGCTCAATGCCATGCTCCGCACAGTAGGCTGCCAAGAGGTCGGAGGAGAACTCACCACCTCTGTCAGAGTGCAGACGCAAGACAGGAAAGTCCGAGTGGAACCGCTCGCTGAGCTGGAGACGAGAAGCACGGATCCAAGGGATCAAAACAGCAGGGACCTCACCCTTGGTGCGCAAGGGGAAGACCGTGGTGTAGCGCGAGAAGTCGTCAACAACGATCAGGAAGTACCGCTCCTGACCCTGTCCACGGACGCGGGCTGGGCCCCACACGTCCATGTGGAGCGTCTGTAAGGGAGCAGTCGTCCAGGGAAGAGAGGAGGAGTGAGGAGCGGCGCGCTGGCGCCCCTCGACACAAGGAAGACAGGGAGGAGCAGGCGAGGGTGGTAGGGGAGGGAGTACCCGGGGAAGACCAGAGACAAGGTACCGTTTGTGCATGGCACGAAGGCGCTGCACGGACGGGTGACCAAGGCGGTGGTGCCAGAGGACAGTCTCGTGCGCCAGAGAGCGACACGAGCAGGGGGCAGACAACTGACCTGACGCAGACGCAGACGCAGCTACCTGAGGGGACTCAGTGGTCAGTGTGTACAGGTCCGACCCCGGCTGCCTAGTGAAGGTAGCGAGGTGACGGCCCGTCCGAGCACACGTGCAGTGTGTCACGCGCTCGTAGGCAGGGGTGAACTGGTGGACACCCCCGTCCTGGAGCGCACAACCCGCCACCAAGTTCGTAGAGAACGAGGGGAGGTGGAGACCTGACAGAGTGCCCGACGGAACCGCAGGACAAGGAAGGACAGTGGAGGAGGTCGCAATGACCGGACCCCCAGAGGGGTCAGCAAGGGAGACAGCAACTGGCCGAGCAAGCTGCTCAAGGGCAGTGCGGTCACGAAAGAAACAGCGAGAAGCGCCTGAGTCTAGAGTGAAGGTGTGCAGTGCCTCAGTGGACTCAGTACCAGGGGGCGCAGACTCACTAGCACCTGGAGCAGCAGCCTCACCAGCACCTGGGGCAGCAGACACGTAAGCACCTAGCGCAGCAGCCTCACCAGCACCTGGGGCAGCAGACACGCAAGCACCTAGAGCGGCAGCCTCACTGGTGCGAATGCCCGGGTCGGGCGGAACACGCAGGTACTGATCACCCTCTCCACTAGTAGACAACACATACATGGCAGTGAGAATAGCATCAAAGTCAAGAGCAAAGATATCAATGTTCTTCTTCATCAGATCCCACCAGCGGGGCAGCTCAGTGGCAGTAGGGAACTGAGTGCGCCAAGGCCACCCCCCCCCCCCGTGCTGAGAGTACCACTCACGAAGCTCCTGGGGAGAGAGGGTCTGCTGTCCGCCAGCGCCACCACGACCACCACCTCCGCCGCCACCACCTCGACCACCACCGCCCCTGCCGCCGCCTCGTCCACCGCCGCCCCCACCACCGCCCCCACCACCGCCCCCACCCCGGCCACCTCCTCCGCTGCTGCCGCCACCACCCCCACCGCTGCCACTAGCCCCTCCTGCCCCGCCACCACCCCCACCGCCTCCACCGCCCCCACCACCGCCTCCCCCGCCGTCACCTCCACCTCCCTTGCCCCCTTTGCCCTTGCCGCTGTGGCGCCAGCTCGGAGCGGACGCAGTCCCGACCTGCTCAGTACCAACTAGGTCGACAGCAGCAGCAGAGGCGACAGAGGGGAGCAGGGGGGAAGGGGAACACCCCTCGAAGAACGGGGTGCGGGGGTCGCCACGAGAGGCAGCTACAGCGACTATGCTAGTCTCGGCTGCAAGCAGTTCCTTCTCGAGCAGGTCAACGGTGAGCTCAGTGGGGCAGCGAGCGAGGAAGTGGTCCCTGACCGCACGAAGAGAGTCAGGGAGACGGGTGACAAGGTGGTAGAGAGTGAGCCAGAGCGGGGGGGGGGGGGGGGTGGCAAGAAACTCAGCGGGCATAGCGGCACGGAAGCGAGCCTCACTAGTGCGGAGGTGCGTGGTGAGGTCAGCGACTGTGGCGAAAGCGGACAGGTCTGGGAACAGGTAGGGGAGCGAGAGACGGCCTAGCGCAGCAGAGGCAGGTGAGGAGTAGCGTGCAACTACAGCAGTGTACAGTGCCTGTGCAGTCTTGTGCTGGCCAAAGTGCTCGCGCTCATCTACCGGCAGGGAGTTGCGAATAGCGAAACGAGCGTGGGCATCACGAGTCTGCCACTGTGAGCGGGCAGTACTGTCAGCAGTAACAGCAGGGGCAGCAGCGAGGCCTAGTGCGTGATCGTACAGCGAGATGTCCTCCTTGGCAGTGAGCTGGAGGAACAGGTGCAAGTCATCTAGCCAGATCTCAAACTTCACTGGGCGGCCCTCGGCATCAAAAGCGAGTACAGCGGGGCTAGCCATAGCAGCAGTAGAAGAAACAGTAGCAGTAGTAGTAGCAGCAGGCGAAACCCTAAAAACAGCAGTCAGCGCGACTCAGGTAGGGCGGCTCAGTCCAGAGAGGGCCGCTCAGTACGGGGAGGGCGGCGCGGCTCGGTTCGGGCAGCGCGGCTCGGCTCGGGCTGGGCGGCTCGGTTCGGGCGGCTCGGTTCGGGCGGCTCGGTTCTGGCGGGGCCGTGGCGGTCGCGCGTGGGGCGGCTCGGTTCTGGCGGGGCCGACGGGGCCTCTAAGGGGGGGGCGGACGCGGGGCCGACGGGGCCTCTAAGGGGCGAACGCGGGGCCGACGGGGCCGCTAAGGGGCGGTGCGTGGGGTCGACTGGGCCGTAGGGGGCCGATAAGGGGCCGTGCGCGGGGTCGACGGGGCCGTAAGGGGCCGCTAAGGGGCGGCGCGCGGGGTCGACGGGGCCGTAAGGGGCCGCTAGGGGGCGGCGCGCGGGGTCGACGGGGCCGTAAGGGGCCGCTAAGGGGCGGCGCACGGGGTCGACGGGGCCGTAAGGGGCCGCTAAGGGGCGGCGCGCAGGGTCGACGGGGCCGTAAGGGGCCGCTAAGGGGCGGCGCGCGGGGTCGACGGGGCCGTAAGGGGCCGTTAAGGGGCGGCGCGCGGGGTCGACGGGGCCGTGAGGGGCCGCTAAGGGGTCGACGGGGCCGTAAGGGGCCGCTAAGGAGGGGCGCACGAGGGCGCTGGGGGGAGGCGCTCGAGGGCGCTCCGACAGTAGGGCGCACGAGGGCGCTAGTAGGCAGTCAGTGTGGTGGGCCCTTAAAAAAATCGGTCCTAGCGGAGGACCTGCTCTGAAACCATGTCAGAAAGAACGAAACAGGAATGATTGAACTAGCACAAAGTTGGGTACAAGTAGGAAACCCTAAGTTTGTGTACCCCCTAAGGCTAAACCCACTATAGCCTACACAATGTAAACATACAATGTTTGACAAAATCTGTTAAAACATGTACTTATGGTACTGTAGGCTATACTGGGGTACACTGTAGAGGGGACAACCTCATTAGGGTTTCCTACTTGTATCTCCATTGTTTCTAGTTCAATCATTCCGTCATTCACATTCTGACATGGTTTCAGAGCAGGTCGATCCTTAGGACCGATTTTATTTTTTGTTTTAAGGGCCCACTGTTCGTTCTGCCCGCTAGTTTCTGCCCTGCCCTAGCGATCGCGACCCGGCTGCCCGTTAGGACCGCCCGCCCCCCCACACGTGATCGCCCTGCCCGCGCGCCCTGCCTAAGCGTCGCCCTGCCCGCGCGCCCTGCCTGAGCGTCGTCCTGCCCGCGCGCGCTCTGTTTGCAGCTGCGCTGCCCTGCCTGCCCGCGCGCTTTGCACGCACACCCTGCTGCCCACCTGCCCGCGCTGCCCGCACGCGCTTTGCTGGCCCTGCCGGTGCGTTTTGCCCACCCACGCGCTGCCCTGCCTCGCAAACGAGCTGCCCGCCAGCAGCCTGCGCGCACCTTGCGCCTTGCCCGCACACGCCCCATGCGCACCCTGCCTGCTCCCTGCCCGTCCGCGCTGCTGCGTGTTGCTGCTTCTGTCACTTCTGCAGCTGCTACTGCTGCAAGCGCTGCTGCTGCTGCTGCTATGCGCTGGTGCTGCTGGTGCTAAGCGCGCTGCTGCCACCGCTGCTACTGCACGCGCTGCTGCGCTGTGCCCTGCCCGAGCCGCGCCGCCCTGCCGAGCCGCGCCGCCCTGCTCGAGCCGCGCTGCCTTGCCCGAGCCGCGCTGCCTTGCCCGAGCCGCGCTGTGCCCTGCCCTTGCTTAGCCGCACTGCCCTGCTGCTGCTGTTGCTGCCACTACCGCTACTGCTGCTACTGCCGATACCGAGGGGCACCCGATCGAGTTTGAGAACTGACTCAAGGACTTAGAGTGGTTCCTTAAGAGCGTCACGAGGGAGGATATCTCACTGTTTGAGCATACCTCCGGGACTGTCGCTAGCCCTACTGAGTCCACAGACCAGAAAGTTCGTTCTCAGTGGACCTCTCGTGACGCCAGTGCATCCCTTGCTGTTGCAACGCACCAGCAATGTTCCAGGTGGAGATGAATCACATCCTACGGCCCCTGCTGGACGAATGCGTAGTGGTGTACTTGGACGACATACTCATCTACTCCAAGAACATTAAGGAGCACGTGGAGCATCTGCGGAAAGTCTTTGAGATTCTGCATGAGAACAAGTTCTACATGAAGCTGTCAAAGAACGACTTCGCCCTGAAGAAGGTGCAGTTTTTTGGGCACATGGTGAGTGCCGAGGGCGTACGCCGACGGCAAGATCGAGCGCTACAAGTCTCGGCTTGTAGCCAAGGGGTACCAGCAGAAGGAGAAGGTGGACTTCAGGGAGCTGGTTGCTCCTGTGGTGAAGCCGACGACGCTGCGGACCCTACTCACAGGGGCTGCCATCAAAGGATGGGTGGTGAAACAAATGGACGTGACAACCGCGTTCCTCAACGGCATTCTCGAAAAATAGATTTTCTTGGCGCAGCCAGAGGGGTTTGATGATGGTAGTGGCAGAGTTTTGAAGCTGAAGAAGGACCTCTATGGGCTGAA